TCTCTATTTTCCTGATTTAAGTGAAAGTCTAATTATGTGATATATTTGTGTAAATTATCATGTTATTAATAAAGATTTCTGTTGTTTAAAAAATTATTATTATTATTATTATTATACTATTTTCCAAACGCAAGCAAGACAACATTGGTAGTCAAGGAGGAGTTCTTTGATCAAGCGAAGGATTCATTTGAGGAAACTGGCATCAAGATTACCACTGATGGTCATAAAATACTTGGTGCTGCCTGCGGTAAACGTTCTTTTGTGGACGAATATGTAGTTGATAAGATAGACGAGTGGGAAGAAGAAATTGAGATGCTATCTAAAATAGCTGAAACGTATCCACATGCTGCATATACCACATTTACTCGTGCTATTGTGTGTAAATGGCAATATCTTATGCGAACGATTGATGGTATCGGTAGCATGTTTCAACCGTTGGAGAACGCTATTTCGGCCAAACTCATTCCGGCTTTAACGGGCAGAGGACCTTGTTCCAGCGTAGAAAGAACAATGCTCTCTTTGCTAACGCGTCATGGTGGGCTCAACCTTGTTAATCCTGTTGAAGTCGCGAATAGTCATTATAACGCATCATTAAAGATTACCGTGAATTTCTGAAGAAGATGATCATTAGCCAAACGACAACTTATAAGAAATTTTTTCTACACGACATAAAAGCCGATCTGCGAAGGCAAAAGAACCAGTACCACCAGCAACTAGCCACGGAGGTCAGAGAAAGCTTGTCCCCAATAAAGCAACGGACTTTGGATTTGTTGGAGCTGAAAGGTTCATCATCATGGTTATCTGCCCTACCACTGAAAGACCAAGGCTTCAGTCTAATCAAGGGCGAGTTTCGTGATGCTTTGAGCCTCAGGTACGGATGGCAACTGAAAAATCGTCCCCAATATTGCATATGTGGAACTAGTTTTTCGACCGATCATGCCATGATATGCCCACATGGAGGAATGACTATATCTCGTCATAACGAAATCCGTGATCTTAGCGCTGATTGGATGAGTGAAGTATGCAGAGAGACGGAAACCGAACCACCATTGCAGCCCTTATCTGGAGAGATTATCCTTCCCCGTTCCGCGAATAAACGAGAAGATGCCCGGGTCGATATTAAGACTATCGGACTTTGGGGCCGGCAGCAAAGCGCATTTTTTATGTTAGGGTTTTTCACGCCAACGCGCCAAGCTTCCGTGACAAAAGTGTTGCAGCTTTATTCCGGAAACATGAATTAGATAAGAAGAGAGAATATGGCGATCGGATAAGGGAAGTTGAAAATGGTTCCTTTACACCACTGGTCTTTTCAACAACAGGAGGTGCCAGCGGAGAAACAACAGTGGTTTATAAAAGATTAGCGGAACTTTTGGCCAACAAACGGAAATCTCCTTACAATACCACATTAGCCTGGATGCGATGTCACATATCAGTGGCTTTAATGAAATCAACTATATATCCTGTATAAGAGGATCAAGAGTGCGTCGGCGCCGTCATACGGACATGGGAATAGCAACGGAGGTTGCTGAAAGTAATTTAATTATTAACCCTTGAACTTGGAATTTCATAACTAGATTAAATCATATACTACAATTAGGGTAATTGTTCACGGAACATGTTTCGTTCTTTCTTAAAATTAAGTTTTTAACATTCTTAGTTAGTTTTTTCCTTTTTAACTGTATTCCGTATTTTATCATTCTTTTCTTTGTTAATACATATATTACGTACTATTACTGATTATTACAGTATTATAGATTACTATTAATGATATGGACCAAAGTTACTTTTTATGGACTAAACATATTTTTATTAATTTATTTTGTTTGCAGTGTACATAATATTTTATATATATAATAATAATAATTATTATTATTATTATTATTATTATTATTGTTGTTATTAGTATTATTATTATTATTATTATTATAATAATGGAAACTTTATTGAAATTATATACGTATATATATACAATTATAAATCTCACTAATTTAGGTAATTTATAATTGACTACTTGAACCTACTTAATATTTATATATTAATAATGAGTATCCTTAAATGTTCAGTAATTCCGGATTTAACCAGTCCTTATCTCTGCAACAAAATATACAATATGTTGTCCTAATCGCGATAGACATAATTTTCCTGATAGCGAAATATTGGTGTCTTTTATCAAGACCTAGATCAGTTAACATATCTAAAAAGGAATGACATTCTTTTGAGAAAACACCTAAAGAACTAATTGACAAATTTACAAATTTTACGGACTTAAATTGTTTCTTTTGCTGTGTAATGAGATCTTCGTATCTTCTTCTTTTCCGATCAACATTTGTTTGTAGATTAGACTCATAGCCAACAGAAAGTTCAAGGATATAGAGACAATCCGAGTTGATAGATAGAAGTAGGTCTGGGCGGAATGTGTCACCAGTTACAATTGATGGGCTTTTATAACCAGGAAGATCGACGAAAAGATTGGAGTTGTTTACAGGTTGTAGCGTTTGTGCTATGAAGTTCAGAACAGAATCATGTCTCCATGTAAATCGTGGGAGGTACGTTTGACATCCAGCAACTACGTGTAAAAGGGTTTCAGGGTTTAAGCAGAAGGAGCAATCAGAGTTGGACAATATTCCCCATTTAGTAAGGTTTTTACGAGTTGGAAGTGAGTTATTAATGTAACGAATGGTGAAGTTATAGATGTTCTTTGGGAGGTTTGATTGGGATTTAGACCATATACCGTTTAGTTTCGACAGTGAAAACTTAATGACATTTGAGAAGAAGGAGCCTTGCAAAATCAGATGATTCTGCAGTTTCTCTTTCTTGTCCGGAGGTATAATAATAATAATAATAATAATAATAATAATAATAATAATAATAATAATAATTATAATCATAATTATTATTATTTTTTGACTTCAGTATGTCCGAAAAAGAACACAAACAAAAGCTAATCACTCTCATGGACGACATTATGTCTGAAATTGATCTCAAACCTTTGCACCCGAAGAATAAACTTTTGCTTTATAGTCGTTACCTCCTATCCAAACTTTCCTGGCATTTCACTGTAACCACCTTATCAAGAACCTGGGTCACTGAAAATATGGATTCTGTGGTGAACAAGTACGTACGTAAATGGCTTGAAATACCTATATCAGGAACTCTATCTAACGTCTACCTTACCAGTAACAAGTTTGGTCTAAATATCTACCCGCCGTCAATTAAGTTTGCTCAGTGCCAAACAGTTGCTCGTAACGCCTTAAAGACCTCTCCAAATCATTCCATAAAAGACCTCTGGAAAACAACATCTGAAAGCAAAAACATTCAGTACGACGTTTACACCTCGACAAAGGAAGTCCTTAAAACTTTTACCTCCGGACAAGAAGACAAACTGCAGAATCATCTGATTTTGCAAGGCTCCTTCTTCTCAAATGTCATTAAGTTTTCACTGTCGAAATTAAACGGCATATGGTCTAAATCACAATCAAACCTCCCAAAGAACATCTATAACTTCACCATTCGTTACATCAATAACTCACTTCCAACTCGTAAAAACCTTACTAAATGGGGAATATTGTCCAACTCTGATTGCTCCTTCTGCTTAAACCCTGAAACCCTTTTACACGTAGTTGCTGGATGTCAAACGTATCTCCCACGATTTACATGGAGACATGATTCTGTTCTGAACTTCATAGCACAAACGCTACAACCTGTAAACAACTCCAATCTTTTCGTCGATCTTCCTGGTTATAAAAGCCCATCAATTGTAATTGGTGACACATTCCGCCCAGACCTACTTCTATCTATCAACTCGGATTGTCTCTATATCCTTGAACTTTCTGTTGGTTATGAGTCTAATCTACAAACAAATGTTGATTGGAAAAGAAGAAGATACGAAGATCTCATTACACAGCAAAAGAAACAATTTAAGTCCGTAAAATTTGTAAATTTGTCAATTAGTTCTTTAGGCGTCTTCTCAAAAGAATGTCATTCCTTTTTAGATATGTTAAATGATCTAGGTCTTGATAAAAGACACCAACATTTTGCTATCAGGAAAATTATGTCTATCGCGATTAGGACAACATATTATATATTTTGTTGCAGAGATAAGGACTGGTTAAATCCGGAATTACTGAATGTTGAGTCATTGACATTTAAATTTATACATTAATACTTTATCTTATATATTTTTAAGAAACTGGAGTCCAGGACAGCTCACGTTTTTGTTGCTTAGCAACAAGAGAACGCATTAAGAACGTTTTTTCGATATCGATTTTTCGATACATAGTTTATCCGGAGTTTTTACATTTATAGAAGCCTATAGACGTAAGTTACCTTGATATTTTGGTGTATTTCAGTTAGGTTTAAGCGTATTTAGTCTCTATGTGTATTTTTTTTGTAGTTTTCACCGCATTTGTACGAATAAAATCATTTAAAACATGTAGCCAGACGTGCGAGTGTGGTTGACACATGCGAACTCCTTGTCGTTTTTGGCTCCACGAGTCAACTGAGGCGCGGGAACGCGACAGTGAAAAGTTTACAGTTCTTTGTGGGGTTCAAATGGTCAGTGGAGTCATTTTGTAAGTAGAATTTTGTTGTATATTTGATATGTGCTGAGAATGAGTACCAAGAGTCGTGAGAATTGGGAGCCTGGGTAGGAGCCTGGAAATAGAGCAGAATCCAGGAATTCAAAGCAGATCGAGGAGCATGAACAGTCAAGCAACGCAAAAGGGGAGTCAACATTACATTCCGGGGGGTCAGCCCATAATACGGGGGGTGAGACACGACAAGTCTTGCCAGCTGACACTAAGGGGACAAATGGGGATGACCGAAGAAGTCGTACATTATCACAAAAGGCTATACAGAATGCTATACAGTAAACGTTAACAGATCTCACTAGAGAGGGGAAGGCTCTAAAAGCAGCATCAGAATCTATGAACAGGGTCTTGTCACTAGGGCCCCTATATATGGATTTTGACATTTACTTATCAAGTACAAGAGCATCTTACATGAAGTACAAGGACTTGTTGGAGGAGCTAAACAGCTTATTAGAAAAAGATAAATGGGGAGAACTATCTGACCAAGCATATGAACATGTAAGTTATGGTAAAGACATTTTGGATTTTGCGTGGAAAGCAATCAACAATGCAACAGATAGATTTAAGCCTCCGGAGACTGCTCCTTCTCTAAGTTCAAGGAGTACTCGGCGTAGTGTACTGTCCCGGGCAAGCTCATCATCATCGGCCAGTGCAAGGAGAAGAGCTATGGCAGAAGCAGCGGCCGCAAAGAAAATGGCAGAGTTCGATCGGATTATGGCAGAAAGAGAAAACGAGAGAAAATTATTCGAAACCGAAGAAGAACTTCGCCTCAAACAAAGGCGCGCCCAACATGATATAGAGATGGCTATCCTAGCCGTAGAGAAGGCTGAAGCTATTGCAAACGCTAAGCTTCATGCTATAGAACAGTCGATTATGAAAGAAGAACTACCTTACCTGTTAACCAAGCAAAGAGACCTCGAAGTAGAAGACACAGAATCCCGAACTAAAGTATGGGTCGACACCCACAGCGACCCCAAACACAAACCCAATTTGGCAGACCCAAACGTCGACACCCTCCACCATAAACCTGAAACAACCGAGAATACAACCGAATTACCACCAGTAACAAACCAAATTGCTGAGGGAATACAAGTGGCGAATGTTAATGAACATATTAATGACAATAGATCAAAGAGTATATTTACCCCTAAAGGATTTGCAGGAAACCCACCCATTTTCACACCTTCATCTCCTATTCC